CCGTGCGCGTCGCCGTCAGCGAGGAGCCCGACGGCGCGGCTACTCGCTCGAGGCCCACGGGGGCCCATGGGATTGCCGCGCCAGCGCCCTCGCAGTGCTGCTTTCCAACGCCGAAGGCAAATTCGGACCCCTGTGGATGTGCTGCGCCAGCGGCAGCCGTCTACGACGGCGGCTGCAAGGGCAACCAGGCCAACGGCAAAAGCCAATGCAGGAGACCTATTGGAACCAGGGGCAATGCTGCGTCTGCGACAGGCCAACGCCGTAATTCAAAACCTCATGCGGCGACGCCTGGCCTTGAGGCCTCTCCTGTGCCTTCTGATTGGAATGAACACCCGCAGGAGAAGAAGCCGTTCTTCGGCAAAGCCATGCGACAACTGGGAGCCAGCCGAATGCAGCTAAACCCACGGCCAAGATTGTTGGCCATGCGACGACGCTGGCTCTTGCGCCCGCGCAAAGAGCTTTGCGCGCGTACCAAGAACGCAATGCCAAAACCGCGTCGTCGTGCTCCCCGCGGAATATTCGCATTCGCACACAACACGAAAGCCCCCCTTGATAGGGGGGTTGGGGGGAGAAACCCTAAACCCTAAAGGGCTTTACTGTGGGTGGTCTGGGGCGGGAGTGCAAGTTCATAGCGCGCGCGGCTTGGGCAGCGATCCCCCCCAACAACCTTGATGTGGGGGGGATCGCAGCCAGCGCGCGCATGCGCCAATGCAGGCCCTAAACCCTAAACCCTAAACCCTAAACCCTAAACCCTAAACCCTAAACCCTAAACCCTAAACCCTAAACCCTAAACCCTGCAGGCGCGGCCCTGGGGGCGCGCATCGCCACGCCTGTAAGGATCTGCTAGTGAGAGCGAGCTGCCAGTCGAGCTCACCGCCACAATCGGCCTGCCGGCCTGAGGCTGTGTCTCGCTCAGAAACACATAACCCCTAACCCGGGGCCGGATGCTCCCAAATCGCGGCCGGCCCTGGTGAGTTTAGGGTATTGGGCCGCGGGTTTAGGCTTTCCCTTAAAAACCATTGGATTTCCTTAGAAACTGCCCCAGGACGCTTGGCTTCGCTACGGAAGCGCGCTGCGGCGCTTAGATAGCCGAAATCGTAAAATTAGCGCTTGGGTTTGCCCGCCGCCGCGCTGGTCCCCCTTGTCGCGCTCGCATGCAGCCTCTCTGATATCCAAGCACTTGTATCGGCGCTTAAAAACCTCCGGATTTGCTTAAAACTGACCCCAGAACGCTTGGTTTCTCTGGAAGAGCGCGCTGGGGCAGGTTTTATTGCCGAAGGCGTAAATCCAATGGTCCAAAGGTTCTGTGCGTCCGCCGGCCAAAATCCTCCCTGATGCGGCATCACGGAGGATTCTGGGGGGTACCCACAACGAGCTCCCCCGGGCTCCTTGGCTCCTTGTGGGCTCCCATAACGAGCTCCCCCAGGCTCCTTGTGGGCTCCCACAACGAGACCCCCTTCCCCCCAGAGCTCTCCCCCAGAGCTCCCCCCAGAGCTCTCCCCCAGAGCTCTCCCCCAGAGCTCTCCCCCAGAGCTCTCCCCCAGAGCTCCCTCCCAGAGCTCTCCCCCAGAGCTCTCCCCCAGAGCTCTCCCCCAGAGCTCTCCCCCGGAGCTCTCCCCCAGAGCTCTCCCCCAGAGCTCTCCCCAAGAGCTCTCCCCCAGAGCTCTCTCCCAGAGCTCTCCCCCAGAGCTCTCCCCCAGAGCTTTCTCCCAGAGCTCTCCCCCAGAGCTCTCCCCCAGAGCTCTCCCCCAGAGCTCTCCCCCAGAGCTCTCCCCCAGAGCTCTCCCCCAGAGCTCTCCCCCAGAGCTCTCCCCCGGAGCTCTCCCCCAGAGCTCTCCCTCCAGAGCTCTCCCCCAGAGCTCCCCCCCAGAGCTCCCCTCCAGAGCTCTTGGCGTGAAGGAGCTCCCAGAGGATCGTTCCCAGGGTAGTGAACAAAACATATCCTCAAGAGCGTGCGCAGACCTCTCTGGGAGAGCTAAACCAAGGAAAATTACCGATATACCGGATTCACATTCCCCCGCCCGCGCGGGCCTAGGTCGCACGCGTAACTTTCGCGAAGGACGACTCTTCTCATTCATCCCTGGTACGCGGCCACTCACTCTTGCCGACGCCTGCACACTTCCCCCCTTGCTAGGGGGGAGCGAGGGGGGTAGACCACCCTAAACCCTAAAAGCAATGACTCTGGGCGGATGGGGCGGGACTCAACGCACCCATCCATCCCCCCCTACACCCTGGTGAGGGGGGGATAGGATGGTTCTGCTCGGAAACCCTAAACCCTAAACCCTAAACCCTAAACCCTAAACCCTAAACCCTAAACCCTAAACCCTAAACCCTAAACCCTAAACCCTAAAAACCCTAAACCCTAAACCCTAAACCCTAAACCCTAAACCCTAAACCCTAAACCCTAAACCCTAAACCCTAAACCCTAAACCCTAAACCGGTCTGAACTCGGTTTGATATTCGAGCTGGGTTGCCAAACTATTGGTTTTGTTAGAGTCATCTTGAGAGTGCTGTCGATTTACGCACGTAACTACGGCTGTAGGAGAGCTACAGAGCTCGCAAAGAAGACAATTCAGAAGCATCGGGGGCGTTCGGCTGTTGCATCGAGAGGTCTGAAATCACCTGGGCTGAAAAACTATTCGTTCTCTGCTCTTTGTTCTACATTATATATTGTCAGGAAGCTCTACGAGTCCCCCGGCGGTAAGAAAGGTTGACGGTATACCGCTGGCGCCCAGTTGGTCGACCCATATTTGAAATATACTGGACTATTGATTTTGAGAAAGCAGAGTTTTAATTTGTAAAAGGTTATGAGAGCCTCTGTGTCTTATGAGCGCTCTAGGCGCATTTTCACTTTCAAAACACTTGGCATAAGATTCAGACGCGAAAAGATAATTTTCAATTTTCTGAGAAATACCTCTCTCTTTAGAAGCTGAGCTCGTCCACGCGTGAGATGAGGTCTACGGGGTTACCGGCGGTGACCAGGTTGATTGCTCACCGCCGGCGCCAGTAATTCGTGTGCGGCGGGGGCTAGTTGACAAAAAAAACCATAGAAGTGTTTCATAAGTTTGCTCAGTTCAAATTATTATCCGTAAGAGCCCTAGTATATTTCCTCATCTTCGATCTTATTCCTGCTCGCCATAATCTCAGCTGGATCGGAAACATATTACTGCCGAGAAGGATGTGTGCGGGAACAACTGTTCAGTGTTATCTTGGCAGGTGCTGTCCGTTATTCTTATTTCAACTCGTGCTGTGAAAAAGCTACAGCGTTCGCAATCGAAAGGGCATCATCATGCACTAGCGCCAAGCAGATGTCCAATCTCGCTCTATTCTCCGAGCTGGGTCCGGTAACCTATTCATTTCTAGCATATTTTCCAGAGAGGATGGTTACTTTCTCGATATAACGAGCTGCAGATGTGCTACAGACCTTTTCGGCAGAGCAATCGAGAGAAGCATCAGAAAGGCTAGTCTGCAGTATTTAGATGCTGAACTTGGTCCGCTACCATATCTGGTCAGAAAAACTATTTGCATTCTAGTATTTTTCGAGATGACGATAATTTTCTTGATGTAGCTCGAGCTGCAATTGAGCTACAGAGCTGTTCGGCCCAGCAATCGCAAGGAAGTCATCAGGAGCGCTACTTGAATGTATCCAGATGCGTCCTCAGGGTTCGAAGCGCTATTCGTACTCTGCTAATTTTCAATGATGAGTTCATGGATGTAACCCGAGCTGCAGATGTGCTGCAAGCTGTTTGCAACAGGATTCGAAAGAAAATGATTAAACGCGCTAGTCTCGAGCATCTAGATGCCCGAACTCAGTCTGCTACCAGAGCTGGATCCGGAAAACTAATTTGTACTCTGCTAAATCGTCACTCTGTTCCCTCTCCACCCTTCTCGTCATTCTGCTCCCCTCCTTCGCCCTCCTTCTCCTCTGCCTGCTCCTTCTTTCCCTACTCTTTCTCTTCCTCAGCCTTCCCCATTTGCTTCTCCTCGTCACTGCTTCTTCACGCGCCCTGCTCCATGAAACCGCGCCCTCACGCGCGCGGAGTGAGAGATCGCCGCGCCTGCGTTCAATGGAAAGATATGACTTGTAGAGCTTCCCCAGCGGTGTTCCGGCGCGCTGGGGGGCTAGTTGGCAAAAACATTTCGACGGAAGTTTTGCATGATTTTGCTCCGTTTTACATTTTATTCGTTCGGGATCTTATTCTCGCTCGCCATCTTCATCTCAGGTTGATCGGGTACATATTTCTGTCAAAAAGTACTCTGGCGGGATCGGCTGTTTAGTGTCATCTTGGCAGGTGCTGTCGGTTTTCTTCACTTAATTCGAGCTGTAGAAAAGTTACAGAGCACTTTGGCACAGCAATCGAAAGGGAATCAGCAGGCGCACTAGTCCCAAGTATCGAGAGGTTCGAACTCGGTCTTCTACCAGAGCAGGGTCCGAACACCGTGTCGTACTCTGTTAAATTTTTTAGAGATGATGATGAGGTACTTGATGTAAATCGAGCTGCAGTTGTGCTACAGAGCTGCTCAGCACAGCAATCGAAGTATAATCTGCAGAAGGGCTAGTCTCAAGTATCTAGATGTCCGAAATCGGTCTGCTACCATAGCTGAGTCAGAAAAAACTGTTCGTGATCTGCTATTTCTTTAGAGCTAATCCTGAGTTTCTTGATGTAACTCGAGTTGCAGATTAGCTACAGAGCTGTTAGGCACAGCAATCGAAAGACAAATCTTGAGGAGCGCCACTCGGAAGTATCTAGATGCCCGAACTGGGTCTGCTGCCACAGCTGGGTCAGAAAGAATATTCTTTTTTCTTCGGATCGGATCTTGAATTTATGGATGCAGCTCGAGCTGTAGATGAGCTACAGAGCTGTTTGGCACAGCAATCGAAAGAAAATCATCAGACTTGCTAGTCTCGAGTATCTAGATGCCCAAACTCGGTCTGCTACCAGAGGCAACTATTTGTACTCTGCTACATAATTTCGCCCGCGAGTTCGGCCTCGCCCCAGGTTCGCTCTCGACCTCGGCGCGGGATGGGACCTGAACGTTCCCACAGACAAGAATGAGGCGGCACGGCTCCAGGCTAGTGATCGGCCTATGCTCCTCATTGGCTCTCCACGCTGTACAGCGTGGACCACACTCTTGAACTTTGGACAGGTGAACCAGGACACGCTCGACGGCCTCATGGCGGAGGCCATCGACCACATGGGCACCTGCGTGAAGATGTGCGACGAGCAGCTGGGCAACGGGCGCTGCTTCTTGCACGAGGCACCGCACTCGGCGAGGTCCTGGCACGTTAAGGGCATCCAGGACCTCCCTTGCAGGAGCGACGTCCTCCACGTCGTCAACGATGAGTGCGAGGCAGGGCAGACGGTCCCCGTCAAGCAGCCCGACGGGATCGCGAAAAACATGACGGTCCAGGGCCGCACGGGCTGGATCACCCCCGGTGGGTCGACGTGAACAAGGGCGACCGGAACAACATGAATGTTCGGTCGAGGCTCTGCGCGAAGGAGTTCAAGTGGAAGAAACCCTGGCTCGAGGATGCGTTCGCTGGTACACCGCCGCGGGAAGGCGTCAAGATGGTGCTGAGCAAGGCCATGACCAATACCAGGAGCCCCAACGGCGGCTTCCTGGACATTTCGAGGGCGCGCTTCCACCCAGCGGCGAAGCGCAAGCTGTTCATTCGCATCCCTCCTGAAGATGGTGGGGGCATCCGACTCCTGCTCCGCATGATGTACGGCAGCTGGCTGGGCGGAGTACTTCCAGGACGAGCTAGGCCTGCTACAAGGCAGGAGTGTCCTGCACGTGCGCGTTCACCAACTCTGACGGGTCGTCATCAACGACTTCATCTTCGAGGGGGGGGAGCGCCAGCTGGACGCAATGGAGACGGAGTTGCGGAAGCACATGCTGGTGCAGAGGATGGCTCTCCTTTGAAGAGCTGTATCACGATGGAGCCGGACCCTCGACATGCGGAGATACTGATCCACGAGCTCGGTCTGAGCGGACGCGGGTCCAAGGCGGTGGCAACGCCTGCGGAGAAGGGAGCGAGCTACTACGACGACGCCCCTCTGCAGGGCGCGTGCGAGGCCAAGGCGTAACGGTCTCTCTATATGAGACGCGGTTTCCTCGCTCAAGACGCTCCCCACTTGCAGTGCTATGGCAATCAGTGCTGCAAGCACATGGCGGTGCCAACTACTGGTGGGCTAGCTCGTTTGAAGAGGGTTGCGAGATTCCTCAAGGGTGAGCCTCGGTGCGTTCAGAGCTTTGTTGAGTTGAGCAGCACCGCGGGGGCAAGCACATTGACGTTTACTGCGACTCCGACTGGGCCGGGGACGTGAAGGACAGGAAGGGTGTCAGCTCCGTCTTCGTGTTCCACGGTGCACACCTCCTGAAGAGCACCCTGAGCACACAGGGCACGATCGCGTGAAGGGCACTTCAGTCGCCCTGGGCGTTCGCTCCCTCGGAGCAGACCTAGGCATGGAGCTGTTCCCGGTCATGCGCGCGGACAGCAGCGCTGCGAAGGGCATCTTCGGCAGGCGCGGGATTGGAAGGATTCGACACCTGCACGCCCCTCTTCTATGGGTGCAGGAGAAGCGCGCGAGGAAGGATATCCAGATCTGCAAGGCGCCGGGCGAGACCACACTGGCGGACCTCGGCGCCAAGGAGCTTTCCCGCGCGGACGTCCTCAAGCACCTGGCGACCTGCGGGTTCACCATCGAGTCTGGGCGTCATCCTCTGGCGCTGGCTGCGCAGGTTCCGGTGCCCGGTGAGATCTTTGGCTTAAGCGGCTACGGCCAGGGCCAGGCGCTGCGAGACGTTGAGCCGCCCACTTGCGGGCGCTCGAGGCAGGTGCTGAGCGGGGCCTGGGGCGGCCGCGTCGACGCGCCGGAGGGCCGTGGACCCCGCGCCCCACTACCTTTTGAGTCGGGCCAGACAGGCCCGCGCGCGGCAGGCACAGCTTGTCGAGCGCGCCTCGAGACAGGCGGGCTCGAGGAGGGCTGTCGAGATATGCACGTTTGACGGCCGTGTCTTCGTGCCTGTCCGCAGCCATTCTGGCAGGAGAATTTCTCATGGGTGCAGGCGGATGTCAGACGTCTCGATACTGTAGGCGAATGTGCCTGGTGCTGATGCTTTCTTCTTTCAAGGTGTGCTTCCCAGCTCCGTAGCCAGCCTGCAGCTCGAACAGCGCAGGAGAAAATCATAGCCTCTCCTAAACATGCGCCCGACTTCCTGACGAGTCCTGTGCTGTGTGGAACGACAGAAGATATCGTGTCGTACGTGCCAAATTCCAGGTTGTTGGTTTCTCGAGTCTAGTCCAGCAGTTTCTACGTGTGCAGTGGTTGGTTGCTCTGTTGCTGAGTTCGCACGCTCAACCTTGCAAGGTCGGGATATGAGCATGACGCATAGGGCCTGGAGAGACTCGCGTATGTGCATGCTGGCGTATGGTAATATTTGGGACACGCTTCCCACGCATCAGACGGAGGCCATGAGAGCTATCGGGAGTTGGAGGGATTGCAGTGCGATGAAGAGGTGGACAGGAGGTGCGAGAAGTATCGGGGAGCGTTTCTGGCAGTTTCCGTTTCGCTTGTTTTATGGGTCTGAATGGTGGGAAGTCTTCTCAGGTGGATTTCAACAGTTCATGCAGTTTGCAACACATCAAACCAAGATAAAGGGTATTCGCGCGGGGGCCGTGCCTGTATCTCTTGAGGAATGTGACGAACTCCGTGTTATACAAGAAGACTCGCTTCAGGAACGGCTGCGACTGAGTGGGCGCCTTGGCCAGCGAAAAATGAAGACTACCCAAGGGGACTGGTCTGCGGGAGGCGTACCTAATGAGATCACGGGTGGTTCTATGTTGGTCATATGCTGGTTCTGTGCTCTCTGGAAGGCTGAGAATCACGCTTGGCAATCACGCATCGACGCTGTGGTAATCGGCCATGGTGACATGTGCTCTTTATATAATATGCGACCAGCTGAGGCTTGTAGGGGTCGTTCAAACATGCATATCGGGCGTGGAATGAGGAGGCGGACGTCTTTACCCATCTGGCCCGACAGGGCCAAGTATTTCAGACAGAGAATCTCACGCGTCTTTCCCATTAAACGTTGTTCTATGAATCCTGCCTCAGCAAGGCAGGCTTTGATGAAGGTGTGTGCCGCTTGGGCGCAGGATTTGGCGCATGGATTCCAGTTGGTTTGAAATCTAAGTACTCTCAATTTTCCGAGTGCTCATCTTTCTTGGACAAACCCCAGAACCATTTACAAAACAAGTGTTCAAAACTGCATTCCTTCTGGATGAGGCGTCCACTTTCGCGGACACTGATCTATCAGCGGTGGAGTGCATAATTCGCGCGCTTCCTCGGGTACTGTGCGCCTTTTTCGCGCAGGATTGATTGACAAACGATTCATTTGTTTGTGTGTTGTCGTGCATGCGCACTTGTGTTGATTGTCATCTTTCCTATAAGAGTGCTCGCTTGGCTGCCGCCACTCCGAGTGCCGCGCGTTGGCGTGTCCCGTCTCGTGCTTGGACTGGGCCCTCGTGCTTGCGTAGTCCCTCGCAAAACCGCAAAAACCTGTCTGACGGTTTACCGCCGGCGCCCAGTGCGTTTGACCCCGACCAGCAGCGCGAAGGAGCGCTCGGTGGAATCCAGAGGGGGGCCGCCGTTATCGTTGGAAACGGGCGTGGAGGAACCCAGTCCCCGCGCGGGCGTCTGGCAACCGAGTTCGCGCGCGCGCGCGGCCCGCCGCCGCCCGAGCGCAAACGCACATGTTTAGCAACCTGTCGATCGTGTAACGCAGCAGGACAGAGGGTTGGCGGGGGAGGGGTCGCGAGAGACCACCATGCAATCGTTGTTTCCCGGTTGTTTCCAGCGCGAGCGGGGGGCGGCCAGGGGGTGGGGGGCGGCAGGGGCGGAGGGGGGGGGGGCGACGATGAGGCGAACATGGACCAGGAAGAATCTGCAGAGGAATAAGAGTAGGATAGCAACGTCCGATGGGGAGGGAGGGGGGGGGGATGAGGGGAGGGGGGAGGGTGGGGGGGTGGGGCGAGGAGTGGGGGGAGGAGCAGGAAGAGGTTGAGGGCGAGGTGGAAGAGATGGCCGAGAATGAGGAGGAGGAGTAGAAGGAGGAGGAGGAGGAGGATGAGGAGGAGGAGGTGGAGGAGGAGGAGGAGGAGGAGGGTGACGAGGAGGGGTGAGAAGACGAGGGCAGGGGCATGGGAGGTGGCAGGAGGAGGAGAAGGTGGCAGGGGTGGTAGCCAGGGCTCCGGTGAACCGCTTCAGGGCAGCGGGAAGGGGGCTCCGCACGTGTGTGTGGGGGGGCCCAGGACGATCGACTGAGCTCCTCGGCCCCATCTGTGGAGGGGCGACGCGGGCGTTCCGTGCTCGACCCGCGCCCGCGCGTCGCGCCAAATCGCCCGCGCTGCTGACCAAACAAAACGCCAATGATGACAGACAGCGTGTGTCGTGCACACGTGGGTGGAAAACGCGATTCAGGATCATTCTGGGCCTGGACCCCGGACTCCGCAATAAGGGCCTGGCGCCAAGCTCGCAAGATGGGCCCTCCCACTTGGCATTCGGTTTTGCAGATCTGCAAGATGAACGAGTCTCCCCGCTTCCGTGGCTCGTGACCTGCAGCCTCAATCGCTGCTGCCGATGGGCAAAGGAGTAAAGAGCACGGGGGCGGGGCGGCGGTCTCCCCGCTCTGGTGGCGGCGGCCCTGGCACGCGATGTCGCGGCCTCCGTGTGGGCCGCCAAGAGGCGACGCAAAACCCCGTGGGTTTGGACATTTACCTGCTTGATGGCTTGAACAATGGCCTCTGGGGCGACGCATTTTCAGCCGCCCAGCCATCGCAGAACGCAGCTCTTCCCGAGAAATCCCGAAGCGGTCCTGGGTTTCCAAGGGCGCGTGGGACATAGTCCACGAAGCGGTGGGCAGATCAGGGCCCCGATCATCGAGCGCACCCCAGTTCAAGATCCAGATATTGAGCATCGTGATCGAGCTTCTAACCTGAGCTCGTGGCTCATGCGCAGCACGAGCAAGAGGTGAGACATCAGTGCGCACAGTACTATCACCAGAGGCATGACGCAGCACAATGAGAAACGCATCTAGTATCTAGTTCAGCTCGGGGGCTGCTTTGGGCAACTGTAGGTCGGGTGCCGCGCATGAGCGCATCCAACCGAAACTCACACTCATGTTCGGCATCGCAATCATCAAGGACTTCGAGGCCTTCTGTAAGTAAGGAACCAGAGTATCCCTTTTGTGTCCGGCTCAAACCTAGAACTACCATCGACTGCTGGTGCTGCTGCTGTCGCGCGTGGAGGTTGAAGCCTAACAAGCGCCCGAGCACGCCGACGGAGTCGCGCATCTTTAGCATGAGGACCTGCAGAGCCACCCAGGCCCCATCGGCCCCCATGAACCGTGTGTTGGTGGAGGAACCTACCCCATCACCGGGCGCGGGACTGCGGAGCAGGGGTCTTGCCAATAGTGTCGCATGAGCTCGGCATCGTTCGAGTCCAGAACGCAGAGCTAGGGTCGGCGGCGAGAGCCTCTTCCTTCAAACCATGAGTAGAGAGGGCGACGGTGTTCAGCGTAAAATCTTTGCTGGGGCATGCCCGACATCGGTGTTGTGGAGTCTCCCCATCGGCATAACGTGGGAATTTACCACTAGTGAGGTATCCTGTGTCGCGAAGGCGGGCCTCTGGCCAGCGCGCGCCCGCTGCGATCGTCACTCGCGTGGCGGCGCGCTGGTAGTCCAGCTCCCTCAAAAGAGACTGGTGCAAGCGTCGGAACACCGTGAAGTCGGGGACATCCTGCAGGCCTTGCCCACAGTAGTGCTCAGCAGCCGTAGTCCAAACCTGGGCAGAAACGGTGGCGCGTGCGCTCGTTACATGATGAAACCGAACATCTGGATCAGTCAACCGAAGAGGAGGTGCACCAGGGACTTCCCAGAGGTCAACCTTTCGGGGTACCCAGCCAAGATCCAGGAGGGTCACATATATGTAGAGCTGAGGGGGCCATTCACTTTCGCCATTGTTGAGCGCCAGGAAGGGCACCAAAAATGGAGAAACGAGTCCATGCTCGTCGCGCGCCATCCTGGGTT